ACACGGGTTAAAATTGTGTAATTTCAAAGCTCACTTGACCAATTTTTGCTATACTTTAATACGGAGTAATTGTTTGATAGCTTCAAAGCTCACTTGACCAATTTTTGCTATACTTTAATAAATTCGCCTTCCGTCTCATTATTACTCCTATTTTGACGATACGCATACGCATAAATGTACAAATTGCACGGTTAAAAATTACATAGTAAACAAATTGTGTTTTTATTTTAGCAGATTTATTTTACCAAACATCTCTTAAACAGGATGAAAACAAACATAAAGTACATTAACAGGATTATAATTACTTTAGTCCAAAAATACAAATCCCGCACTCCCATTTTGAAAATTTTAATTTAATGTATTTCTTAATAGGACCGAATAAGTGCATACTTGACAGACACAAGTCTATGTCTTCTAACTTTTGTAGTGTTTAAAAAGTTTCTAAAAATTTCTAGTTGTATATCTGGCATGACAATTTTTAAGAGCTTTTCAAAAAATAAAAGTTCTTTTTTTTAGATGCTACATGAAGTAACATTTGAGAAAAGTCTGTAACTTTTAGTATTAATTATTCCTAACAGCTTGTATACTAAATAGAACTAAATCAAACAGTCAGCTTTTTACCAAACGGCTACTATATTTTTCTTAACATCTTTTCAGTCACTAAAACCTAACTCTTAATTCGGCAACAAGATATACTTAGTTCTGTTTTTAGAATTTGTCTATGTTTTGATCATATATTAAACACCTTTTAATTCTTTTAGTCAGGTTTGAACTAATATAGTCTGATTTGGTTTGGTTGTGACTAATTTGATCCGATATACTAAATGTCTAATTTATGTGCTTTAACTATTTAAGTCTTATCTAGTCATTTTGATCAAATCAATTTAAATTTAGTTGGATCTAATCTAGTTTAAGAATGAAATCAGTTCTGATAGAGTATATACTCATACACCTCAAGGATACCAACATCGCAGGAATGAATCTCCGCAATCAGTAAAAACAAACTCAACTAGCCGAGGCCAAGCTTGAACCTCATTCTTAGATCATTGAGATAAGTCCAAATCCACAACCGAGATCGAGCACAATTACCATACTAAGGAGGAGTATCCATGACCAACATGATAGTTCCAAATACTGCTTAGGCCGAGCTCGTTATACCCATGCTAAAGCATCTCTAATCCTGAGCCGAATATCACCGAAGCTGAGCTTCATCACATACGAGTCAAGCTTCACATCATAGCTAAGCTTCACTACGCCCAAGCCAAGCCAAGCTCAAAGCATTACACAAGTATCAAGGACTTAGACATTTCAGCACACATTCTAAATAAATGAAGGGCAAGTGTCACCAGAGAATAATCACTCTAGAGCTGGCTAGACACACATGGCTTATCCAGGCATTTTGTTAGCAAATTAAGGACAATCACACGTACAATTAATTCAACAGTACAACAATACCAATTAATTCAACAATCCTCTTATTAATCAACTTTACACGTGGCACATTCTCATTAGACTAGTTATTTAACTTGTTCATCAAGTATTAGATATTTTAGTGTATGTACTCAAAATTTTAGTATACCCAGGTTGTGGAAAGGGGGTCAGATTTGTGAGTTTTTAGCATACCGTTACTCTGCCAATTTTTCGACTAGGCTCATACTTGTGTTTTTTGTCTCCCACTTGAATCTTTCTACCCCCGATCCATAGGACTATCAAGTTCATATGACACAAATGTTCACAGTAAAGGGAAAATTCCACTTTTTGGAATAGAATAAGGAAAATATGAAAATAATAAATTAATGCAGTCATGTATTTTTGTACAAGCGAATTACCTCATTCCATTTTTCGGGTACAATGGATATGAAAAAGAATTAAAAAGAACAAGGATTAATCCAATTGTTTAGAGTCCATTTCGTCCTCCAAAAGAAGGCAGGCTAACTCTCTCATAGCCTCTTGAAGAATAGTCATCAGAATCGATCTCATTTACCACATTGTGTAACTCTTAGTTGTGTACAAGAATAAGATCTTAATGTAGGCCCCATAGCTGAGCTTTGAATCTATTGATTGGCCAAATTTAAGCACAAAACCGGTGATCTAGTTCCCCATGTACGTGGTCTTAGACAATGCCCGCAACTGCTGCATTGTTTGTTTCCTTTCGATATTATTGTTAAGTTTGATCTCACCTTCATTCGAATGCTGCCTTTTGATCATTCTAGGAGGGGTGGATTTTTGTGAAATAATTCTTTTCCTAAAGTCATGGTGATGTTTTCTATAAGAGCCCATGATTGTTTAACGATTTCTTCAAATTTTGAATACTTATTACCCTTAAATAATCATGTGTTATGTGCTTTAATTTCTAAATATTCCACATGAGACATGGTTTAAAGAGGGGGATAGGGTCTTGGGTTGTGCTCAACTCATAATTTGGTTGAAGCCAGTTCTGGAAACTCTCACGACTCATCATGATAACCATTGCGTGAAGATCATACTTGAGATAACAACGTTTAACAATAACACAATTCTAAAAAGGTGAATCAATTGAAGCAGTTTTCAGGCATTATTAAAGATCAGAAGGAGATTCTTTTTTTCCTACATAGAGGTGTTACATAGTGCTTCACAAAGACGTCATCAATTGAATCCTTTTATAGTTTGACTGCGCCTTCTATAGGCAACTCATCCTCCAGAATAGACCAAGATCAAGGATTCTTGATGTAGGATCAAGTCTTCTAAAGAAGTTCTTGTTGAAGAATGTAAATGTCCCCAGAGAATCTGTCAATCGTGCAGTGACATATATGGGCATTAAGGTAGCAAAAATTTCCCTTGATAACTAGGATTTGTTAACATCTATTTAGTCATTTATATTTTTTGTGACTTTTACTATTTATCAGTATGTACACTATTAAAAAACGGTAGACATGGACATGGTTTTATGTTATGCCCATTTTTTACATGTTCATTATATATGTACGCATGTTTTAGATCCAGCCTATACTCTACACAAAATTGAAACAATTCACTTTACACCAAGTAGTAGGTAAAATATTTTATTTGTTACCATGGTTTCGGGCATTCCCCCCTGTATTCATCAAAATTTGATACTCTAGCCGATGAGCTAACAATGATATCAACATGCTTGACTTAGTATTCAAGCAAATTACATAGCAGTGATGGAGTTGCAGGATTGGCAAGAAAAATTACAACAAAAGTAGCATGGTTATTTATAGAAATTAAACATAATAACAACACACCATATTTCAATTAATCATCATACCAAAAAATTACCCCAAAAGTAGCATGGTTATTTATAGAAATTAAACATGATAACAACCCATCATATTTCAATTAGGATGTTTTTACTTGAACTGTAATTTGCTGGTCTAGTCTGGTTTGATTTCTTTGTATTTTATAATTATCCAAGTCTGGTCTGATCTGAAACAAATTACAGTCCAAGTAAAAACATGCTTAATCATCATACCAAATCAATTTTCTCAAGTTCAGTTACGTTCGGTCTCTTAATGCTTTCATTCCAAACACAATTGGTTCCACAAAAAGAGTGTAAAAATTATCACTACTCAATCCAAGATCTGCCCATGTTTCAAGCTTCAAAACATTTCCAAAAAATTATAATAACTGTAATATGTATTTCTCATAAAAATAAAAAATTTAAAATAAAGACATTAATAAATTGTTTTCAAAGTGTTTCCTTACAAATAAACTACTGGGGGAGTCATTGCTTTAATCTTTTCAAAAGTTGTCGTTTATATGTTCGAAGTAGTGCGAAGTAGAAGCCAAACCCCATAAAATATTTGTTTGTTGAGGAGATTCTATCATTCCCTTCCGATCATTTCACTACCGAACAATCTTTCCGTAACTTTTATTTAGAGATTAAACTACATAAACAATTGCAGTAGATGGGGATTCGTCCAAGTCAAAACAAAGGTCAATGGTTTGCCCACCGTTGGTTAGGAATGGCATTGAATTGCACGGAATAAATAAATTATAAATGAGTGTTATTTTATTGGGTAGAAACAGTGGCAACTAGTAAAAAAAAGGTAAAAGAGAGATGAAAGGGGAGAATGATTGGCCAACAAAGTGATCTTGATTCGTGGTGCATATATTATATGGCTGCTTTTCTCACATGGACAGCCAACCTTTCAGAGTCCGATCGATCGCTAGCTTATTCAATTCCTGGAGGTTCTTTTGACTAGGGAGGGGAGGGGTAGCTGCTCAGCCTTATTTGTCGAGTATCAATTCAAGGTTCCATTGGTCAATCCATCTTCTTCTAGGGAGTACTTCCTCTAGTTGTCAATTCGTGTAAAGGGTAGTATTTCAATCCACTTCTTAAAACTGTTTCTACTCCTTTAGTTTAGAGAATAGGAGTAGATATTGGGATGATTTGGTGAGAGTGCATGAATACGTCTGGTGCTTCAAATTGTTCCTAGAAATACTTTTTCAGAAGGCAGGAGAGACCCGTCTCTCAAAAGTGATTCTGTTTCTACTTTTAAAAAAGAAGCTGAAGTAGAATCAATTTCAAACACCTCCTAAATTCATGAAATAATAGTAAAATAATGTAAAATTCTTACATGAGTGTTTTATGTGTTTTTTCTACATAAACGTACGTTAATGCCGTTCTAAAATTTAGAATGTTTTTTATTGGTTGAAAGTTTCTTGGTTGGTATGATCTGTTCTAGTTTGGTCTTAATTGAGTCTGGTGTGATTTCAATCACTCTAGCCTGGAAGATAACTTTTTATCTCTATTTTACAAATGTCAAAGTCTAATATTGTATTATATGATATTTTTAAAGCGTGATTTGACGTGTTGCAGTCTAATTTGATCTAATATGATCTAAGATTCAAATCAACTCAATAAAAAACATTTTGAAGCTTTTTTCCATGGTTGGTAGATTTAAAATAGTCATCAAATATTTGTTCTGACACTAATTGCTCATATGTAGGGATAAAAAAAAAGTAAAAAACAGTGCTCCTACTCTTAAATTCACATTGTTTCTCCTCTTAGGAATTAATTAATTCTTACCGCTAAGACACTAAAGGTTGACGTTAAAGTTAGTTTGAGTCGATTGAACCTTTTGATTTGCGCATTTGGTTCTATGGCATAATACAATTACAAAGGAATAAGAGGTTCATTGCTTGTGAAAGGGGTCGGTCCAAAGTTTTAGAACCTTGCCGACTTTCCGTTATTTCTTTTTTTTTTTTTTTTGATCATCAAAGTGGCTTTAGATTAATAAAATAGCATTCAGCAGGGGTACATGATAACAAAAGAACCACATGTAACCATCCGCCCTTGGCCGAGACTCTGAGTTAATCACCTTTGGCAAAGCAATATAACTCGCTAGACCTAAATTGGGCAACATACAGCCAATGATGATTACCGTAGACCTCTCATTCCCCAAACCTAATGCAAGAGTCTTACAAATCCAAACAAAACAAAAACCAAAAGAAACAATCTTAACGTAGACACGAGACCAGATGGCAAAAAAATAATAACTAAATGGAAAACTTTCACGAACCCTGGCATTTTGTTCAAACCATGGCGGTGGCTCAGGAGGAGGTCGTAAAATTGGTACCACACCAATTGATTCTCCATTGATGACCAAAATCTGGAATACGCGAACCCCGACCATTCCTCCTCGTCTCGCCCTCATAGCAAGACCGCCGCTAATTGTTTCCTTCTTCGTTGCCAAGCCGTGTGAATCCTCCATCTGCCTTCCCGCTTTGCCGAAGAAGATGGCCGCTCACGTCCGAATGCAAGGCTGACTAGGAATCTGCTAGGATCTTCGTCGCACTCAACAGTCCAGCGCCGAGCCCAATCCTCCTCTCGGTGCCTTGCGTCAATCTGCCTAGACACCACAAATCCAAACACGAAGAAACCTGCAAAGCAAAAAACTAAACGAAGGGAATTTGCCAAGGCAAATCCCTTTTGCCGAAGACTAGAATCGCAAAATTGCGCAGATACCAAACCCTAAGCTTAGGGAGACGGCCGCTGATTTTGAGAATACAAATGTTTCCGTTATTTCTTTATGAACCAGAGCTCATTGATGACGTGCAAAAATATAAGAATAATAATAATCTTAATCTTAAAATCTTATAATAGTGAATGAAGGTTATGACCTTTTAAGTATTAAAAATGTGTTGTAACTCTATAGCATTATTAAGTTGTAAATTATGTTTAAGGTGTTGTACTGTCAATGTTTTCTTCCTCCTAAATTCGTGGATTCCGTTAATTAAAACTTTCGATGTTATCGACTTCCGTTTATTATCAAGTGTGGAGAAGTTACATTATGGCAGAAGAGAAGTGGAAGAGATACAAGCGCCCCATCAATCTCTATTAGTAATGCTCCACAAAAAAAACGGGCCTCATCATCGTTAATGCTTAGTTGACCTATCGCGCGACCACACGTACTCCCATGAAATTTTACTAGCTAGAATTTAGATTGATGGATTATGTCATGCTAAATTAGAGAGATCCAATGATAAATTAGATATAATTTGTGATTATAGATGCTAGATGATCACTCCGTTATAAATGATATGATCACTTCAAATATACTGTGAACTTAAGCACAAAATGGGATAATATCCAATTAAAGGTTCTAAAACAATTGGATATATAGTAATGAGAACCCTTCTAAAATGAGAATTCATTTAGGGCATCCTCATTAGTAGGATTATTATGAGATTAAATCTGTGACATGATAGTTTTTTTTAGAGAATTATCATTGAGTGATATATATAGATTGTGTAATGGAATTATTTACTACAATAATCTGGGATCAAAATATGAATCCGGATTATTTTAATATTATTCGAATAGTATATGTAATAGTGGTTAATGCGGAACAGAGAAAAAGCAGATTAGGGGTATTTGGATGAAAGTGTAGAAGTACTTCTGGTGCTCTAAATTACTTCTAGAATCAGTTTTTTCAAAAGTTTTCAGAGATCGATCGAACGCTAGCTTATTCAATTCCTGGAGGTTCTTTTGACTAGGGAGGGGAGGGGTAGCTGCTTAGTCTTATTTGTCGAGTATTAAACTATTAATTCAAGGTTCCATTGGTCAATCCATCTTCTTCTAGGGAGTACTTCCTCTAGTTGTAAAAAAGTGTAAAGGACAGCATGTATTTCAATCTACTTCTTATAACTGTTTCTACTCCTTTAGTTTAGAGAATAGGAGTAGATATTGGGATGATTTGGTGAGAGTGCATGAATACGTCTGGTGCTTCAAATTGTTCCTAGAAATAGGTTTTTAGAAGGCAGGAGAGACCCGTCTCTCAAAAGTGATTCTGCTTCTACTTTTAAAAAAGAAGCTGAAGTAGAATCAATTTCAAACACCCCTAAATTCATGAAATAATAGTAAAATAATGTAAAATTCTTACATGAGTGTTTTATGTGTTTTTCCCAAAAAAAAAGGTAAGTTAATGCCGTCCTAAAATTTCGAATGTTTTTATTGGATTGAAAGTTTCTTGATTGGTATGATCTGTTCTAGTTTGGTCTTATTTGGTCTGATGTGATTTGAATCAATCTAGCCTGGAAGATAACTTTTTATTTCTATTTTACAAATGTCAAAGTCTGATATGGTATTATATGATATTTTTAAAGCGTGATTTGACGTGTTGCAGTCTAATTTGATCTAATATGATATAACATTCAAATCAACTCAATTAAAAACATTTTTGAGCTTTTTTCCATGGTTGGTAGATTTAAAATAGTCGTCAAATATTTGTTCTGACACTAATTGCTCATATGTAGGGATAAAAAAAGTAAAAAAACAGTGCTCCTACTCTTAAATTCACATTGTTTCTCCTCTTACTTTGGAATTAATTAATCCTTACCGCTAAGACACTAAAGTTAGTTTAAGTCGATTGAACCTTTTGATTTGCGCATTTGGTTCTATGGTATAATACAATTACAAAGGAATAAGAGGTTCATTTGTGAAAGGGGTCGGTCTAAAGTTTTAGAACCTTGCCGACTTTCCGTTATTTCTTTATGAACCAGTTTAGATACACGGTGAAGAAAATTAGTATTTAGATACCTTTAATAAAAATACTAAGAGCCGGTATGGTAGCACGAAAATCGGCTGTTTTGGCTGATTCTGCTGAAATTTATGAAGTTCTAGCTGAAGTGACTGCATTGGCTGATTCTGCTGATTTAAGAAAAAAATATTTTAAAAATATATTTCATTAATAAAATAAAGAAAAAATTATATGTAAAAATAGCTAAAATGATCATCTAACGTAATTTCAGCCTATACAGCCAGAAAAGTAACTTCAACCTTACTTTTTCAACTTATTACACAATTCAGAGCGCCAAAACAAAAGTTACGTGTTTGATGAAAAAGTTGACTGATAAGTCTGTTAAACCGAAAAACAGGGTTGTCAAACGGCCTCTAAATCATATTTTTATACATAAGTTTTTTGTTAGTCATATGTTAGGAAAACTTCTTTTGAATGACCAGTGCCGGTTCTACCTAAACTGGGGCCTGAGTCAAACTTTATAAAATGGACCCATATATTGTGTTTTTTATCATGTAGATCACTAAAATTGAATGATTAAATATCAAAACACATTTTTTAAATAAGAGTCTTACATTATAACAAAATGACATTCAATGTTTTTTTTGGCGGGGAAAGTGGTGGGAAATACTTCCCAAATTTATTATAAAAATTACTAAAGGTACACAGAAGAGTTCAAGAGAATTACATAAAGAGGGGGCGGGAGGCGGGGAACATTAGCAATCGAATTTTTTAGTAGGTATCCAAAGAATAGCTGAAATTGATCTATTGTACTTATTGTGCAAAATGACATTGGATGTATTAAAAAAGTACTTATTCATGTTTTCAGTATGACTTTCTGAAGTGGCTCTTTTATTCGAAATCAAGTACTTATTCATTTTTTTGACCTCACTTTGAGTTAATGTTTCAACACATGATTTTCTTTTTCTCTTTTGAAATCCAGACATAGATTTTGGATGCATAGTGCTAAAAATAAATAAATACATAATTTAGTGGAATACTCAACAATAGATATTAGTAATTTTGTCTACAAAATACAAAGCATATAATTTGATTAATTGTGAATTGAGGATTCCATAATTTCAACATTGATAACCACAGAGGTTAGAAAATACATAGGTATAATAGTAAAGTATAAAAAATTGGGGCCCCTAAATTTTCCAATTTTTTGGGGCCCTGAGCCATGGGCCTCTCCAGCCTTGCATAAGGCACGGGCCTGTGAATGACATCAACTTTTGAAATATTTAAAATAATACTCCCTTCGTATCTAATTAGATGATCCATTTGCTTTTCACGGAGTTTAAGACAATTCTTGTAGTGATTTTTGGTACTATATCTGTACTGTAGTAGTACTGTAGCTACTTTTTGAGTGAGATTCTTTCCAAAAAACAAAATGAGACAATTAATTTGATACACGAAAAAAGAAAAACTAAATAGAAAAAGTACTATGTACTCCCTCTGTCCCCTTTTAAATGTCCCGTTTTACCATATTGGGATGTCCCTATTTAATTGTCTCATACCTTATTTGGTAAACTTTGTGTGGCTCAAAATAATTCTTACTTTATTCTTACTTTATCAATTAATATCAACCACACAAACTCACTTTTCTTAAAACCCGTGTCACCATCTCCCGTCACATTTAAAAGGGGACAGGGGGAGTATCAATTACCACGTACTGTTCAACCAATAACAATGCATACTCTCTAATAAATAATTATTTCATACCACAAATACATAACAAAAAGAGTACGAAGTCACTTCCGAACTCAGATTTGGCAGTACAAAATACAAATGCTTTAAGTGTTTTGCCAAATCATAAAATAAAGCTCATTTGACGATTTAGAGTCATTTTATATTTAAAACAAAGAAAGTTCCCGAAATAGGACTAAAATAGTTTGAAAATTCTAAAATAGGATTGTCATGTTTTTCATTCCCAAAATAGAAGTAATTACTACCAAGTTTGGAAAATACTGCCATATTTGAAGTCTGTTACTTCCAAAACATGACAGTAATTAGTCCTTGTTGGATAATAGATACCCATATTGTACAAACAGGAGAGATTGAACAAGAATGGAGAAGATATAAAGAAAGTGTATAGAATGAATGAATATTGGTTGTGAGTTAAAAGTCTTCTATAAGGAGTATATATAGGGAAAATCCGGGTCTGGGCCTTTAATACGGGCCTGACAGACCCGGTTACATAAATGGACTGATAGTATAAAAAACTAATCTAGAACATTTGAATAATAATGTACAATAAATGAATCCGCTGTCTAGGCCCAGTAGTCGGCATACCGGGGGGTCGGAGTCCATATACTCCATCAGTCCTATTTTGGAATAAAAACATGGCAGTCATATTTTGGAATTTTTATACCCTTGTAGTCCAATTTCGGGTAATATTCTCTAAAAACGATTGGTGTTAGTATTATATCAATATCACTGTTGTTATATACTTCCTCCATCCCGCAAAGATGTTCCCGCTTTCCTTTTTTAGCAGTCTCAAGAAGAAGTTTTCCTTTCCTAAAATGACAAGTTATCTACACCAAAACAGTGCAAAACAGTGTCAAACAGTGCTGAAACAGTGTCAAAACAATAAAATTTACCCTCTGGTAAATTTATTTCCTTAATATGTGTGTAGGTCAAACCGGGAACTTTTTTATGGGACGGAGGGAGTATTTGAATTGTTGAAATATGGAATAATTATTTCTATAATATTTATTAGTATTGACTCATTAATGATATTTGATATTACATAAAATTATTTTCTATAAACATTTGTAATCAGAATTTGGTTCATTTCTCAAGTGAAGAGAAAACCATATATTTTTTTCCCCTAAATTCCTTCTTTTTCTCTCAATTTTACCCATTCTATTCGACTTTAACTAAATTACTTTGATTTCTATTCTCATACTTCTTTTTTTACCCGTATTTGTTTAAATAACTTCATTTCCTTTTAATTTATTTATTGGCACTACCAAGCACAACCATATTGAATGATTAGCTCCTAATGTAAGGTTGGAAAAGCCG